TTTTTGGGCACCTCGCCTGCAAACCTGTCAGCTTTGTCTCTGCCCACAGCACAACACAACCAGCACTGGAAAAAGGCTGCCTTCTGCAATTTGACTCCACATTCCACATTCTTCCCCCTTATGCGATATAGATTTAATCTTCCTATTTCTCTCACCCAGGATGTTAGTATGATGGATCCTCTCCTTTTCAAAATTCTTTCCACTTACCACTACAAGGAAACTTTAAACTACTCCTCCCTCCTTCCCAGCTTCATTTGATTCTGACCTCTGCCACAGGACATCAATCTCAAACACAGACAAACTCCTTTACTACCTGAAGCTTGAATTACACTACACCAGCTCTGCAAGCAGAAATTGTCATTTTCCATTACAGACTAGCATAATCCATCTCTTTTGTTGCTGGAGCAAAGTGTCTGTGAGCACAAGCCCTCAGTCAACACAGAAGCAGTGACTCAATACCACTAAGGATGCACTGCAGCAGTACAGCAATGTCAGCAGTCCTGCTGACCTAAGGCAACTTTGTTATGTATTGATATAACAGCTCACAGCATACACATGCATATCAGCAAAATATGTCACAAGTTACAGTAAGATACTGCAATTTCAGAACTTTATGGCTGCTAATGGGCAGTGTAGTCTTGACATAAAGTGCCTATCCACAACTTTCAACCACACAGCTTTTCAGCTGATGATTAGATCTTTAATGTTGATTACTACAATTTCATCCTTTTTGCCTTAAATACCAAGAAGCCTACATGAATTCAGCTCCATACTTACACTGAAAATAGTATCAGAATTACTTGCCAGTAACAGTTATACACCAATTGGGGCTTGTGTTCTAATTCAAGATTACGTGCTTAAATCGGTGTGATTTACAACTAAAAAGAAGTGGAACAGACATGTTGGACATCTTACTTGGAGTAGGTATACATGCATATAATTTATATAGATATTATATACTATAAAACTATACATGTAACTACCCTCGCTATATATAAAGTGAATGGCTAGTAATAATATCTTTAATATAATAATAATATATTTATAATATATAGTAGGTAATATGTATATAGTGCACACAGTCCCCATTTACAAATCTAGCCACTCTCACATTCTCAGTCACAGGACTACTTAAGCTTTAACCACATGACTCGTACAGCTACCCTGTCACAGAGCCTAAGGCCCCTCCAAGTCACACATCTTTTCCCAGTTTGCCAACAAAACACTGCTGTTGTGCCACCATCACCTCACAGAACCAGAACTCCCCTTATTTTTGTCACATTGACAGATTAAAGGCAGAGCAATCTTACCCAGGGCAGTAAGCCCAGCTCTCTTAGAGCTCCATTAGGCTTTCCTACTACCTGATTCACTGTGCTTGACAGTGAACCAGAACTGTACACAGAAATCCAGACAGGCTGCACTTAGTACTGCCAACATTAATGCTCCCCTGATGCACATTAAGATTGTGCTCGGCTGTCTTTCACACCCACATGCCTTTAGCAGTCCACTTTCAGTCACTATGAATTAATAGTTTCTCTCCTCTCCAACTGGCAAACATTCCAACTTCTCTCACATGAAGATACTCGCAAAGAAAAACAAAATCCTGTTACTAGTCCATAACCTTACACTCAGCACCAGTTGAAGAGTCATGTACCCATAGGTAATTAAGTATCCATAGGAGTTTAGTAATTCATTGTTAGCAAACGTGGCATTAGTAGTTAATGCTAATAAATGAAGATTGTCACTCAAAGCTATTATACAGTACCCACAGTATCCTGTGACTAAGGAAAGAGGTGATCAAAAGCAAATACTATGTTTAAACGAAGGCTATTCCAGCTGTACCTTTATTTGTCACACTTCCTAGGCATTCTCCACCCTCATTTTTATAGAGGATTTTCGTAATGCTTAACACTGAATTATCCAGTGTGAGGAAGAGGGAACCATTTCACTTAAAAACCACTTAAGAGAGACAAGAGAAAAATTATACATCATTTAGTTTGCTTTACCAAGCCTTGCTCTAAGCCACAGACTAAAACAGCCCTTGAGTAGAATTCATGCCTTTCACCTTCTCTCATTTGCTCATTTTCCCAAGGCCTGACTGATCTTGCACATGCCTGTTATAAGACGCTGGAGGGGTATAGGGGCACTCAGCTTGGCAGGGTTTTCGGAATGGGGGATGCTGCCAGATGAGCACCCAAGTATAATTTTTCATTAAGTTTCAATGATGAAGTGGGGTTTGTGTACTTTTGGCAACTACTTAACAGTGCTCACACTCAGACTGTAACCGAGCCTTTAAGTTAGCAACCATGGGTAAAACAAATACTTCTGTTTAAAAGACAGCTGTACATAAAACCACTTTGGCAGTACAGATATGACATGACCTCCATTCCCGTAACTTTCCACTTTCACCAGTATCTGGACAGCAGACACCATTTGTTCCACTTACAAAGAGTCAAGCTATTTAGAAACTGCACATGGTTTGCATGGAACAGGCCATACACATCATTTGGTATTAGTTCAGTGTCACTCATTTTTATCTAATATAAATAGGCAGCCTAATAATGGGAAGTTCACTTCAAGTTTCCCCTTCAAATCCCCCATCTGTTTCATGAGACAAAACTTACACAAAATGAGCCAAACACACCTCTGTCCCCATGAAAGATAGTTTCAGTTCAGCATGTTTAATGTATGGTGCTCTTACAGCCACACACTACTACTCTTACAGATGGAAAAATGATGCTCAAAGTGACTGTAACACGCCTGTGTGACGCAAATGGTTTCATTCCAAGGGCACTACCCACCAGCTACCCAGGGTAACACTCAAATTCTTTATGCTAAAACTCATGAATACATTTTAAAAACGGTCAAGACACCAGAATTGCACAACACCATAAACCGCAGTTTCTCTAGTCTGGTTCTGTCTCTAATAGAGACACTTGCTTCTCATGAAAGCCTGGATTCAGAAAGCCCTGTCAAAGCAGATAGCATCTGGCTCTGCTCTGTCCCCAGATATGGATTGCCTGAGGAAGCATTTGCTATACATACAATACAGAACTTTCATAGTAGTCATCTCTGAAGCATTTCAGCCAAGTATTTCAGACTAGGCTGAATACTGTAACTGCACTTGTGTTTCCTCTGACTTCTCCTAATTGGCTGTCTGCATACTCTGACACACTCATTCTACCAGCACTGACAATACAGTGGGAAACTAACAAGCTTCAGGCACTGCTTTCTTAGAACTGAGACCAATGTAAGAATAATCTCATCAAGAATTAAGATAAAGGCTTCTGAGGTTCTGAAAAGAACCTCACAGATTTCTATTTCATTCTTCAGGATACCATTTAGTCTACTAGATGGAAGAATGAGATTTATACTGCTTTACACACTGTAATTTTAATGAAACCAACAGAAGGCGAGTGTTAGCAAAAAGGGGCTACAGGACTTTTTAAGTTTACCAGCTAACTTTATAAAGGATACAATTTCTTTCCAGCTTCCTTCTCCCATTAACTCTGTATGAATTATGGGCTTGTCTTTCCTTTAATTAAAAATAAATATTTGGGGAAGACATATCTATTTGATGACAATACCTGACACAAGCCACGCTTCATCTAGTGCTACGGGTTACGTGGGGCAGGGCAATGCTCAGATAATGGTCACAAAGAGGCAAGGACCCTGAAGAGATACAAAGGACCCTTACTTTCCTTTCTGAATTTCCCAAAAGCAGCTCCTAGTTTCCACCCATGCGCCGCCAACACTGATTTGTTTCCCGTCTTCCTTTACCACCTCCCACCTGCACCCCGGGCGGGTTCCGCCTTGAACAGCAGCACCAGCGTTACCCGAGGGCGGGTACGCACATGGAGAACAAACCCGAGAGCCTGGACAAGCACCCGCAGCCCCGGCGCACGGGCGGAGCAGGACAGCGCTGCCGCGGGAGCCCGCCCCATGCTCCAGCCTCCCCGTGCTCCCTCCGGGGGGGCCGCGCAGGACACCGCTGTCACGGCTGGGGCGGGAAGGTTTCCCGGCAGGGCTCCTGCTCTCTTCCCCCTTCGTCGCCCAGGCCCCCCGCAGGCCACCGAGGAGGGCGGGGCGGCACCTATCTTCCCGGCACGTCCCTGCCGCTCCGCCCGGCGCACGCTGCCTCCGGGCGGCCTGCGGTACCGCGGGCCGCGGCAGGTGCTGCCCGCCCCTCCGAGCCCCCCTTCCCCCGGCTCTGACCCCCTCCCCGCCGCCAGCGGGACACCGGGAGGGGGCTGTCGGCCCCAGCCCGCGGAAGCTCCCCGGCGGCGGGAGGGAGGAGGGTCCCCGCGGGCGGCCCGGGACGGGGCCAGGCGTGGCGCGGCACGGCGCGGCAGTACTTACAGCCGTTTCTCCTGCGGCTGCAGCTGCCGGTGCATGGCCAGGGAAAAGCCGAAGAGGCTGCCCGGCTCCCCGCGCCGGCTGATCACGTTGTCCGTGTCCAGGTTGAAGGCGCCGGCCAGCCCCGGCAGGAGGGGCAGGTACAGGAGGAGCGCGGCCGCCATCTGCTCTCGCCGGCCGCGGGAACCTGCTGCCGAGCGCCGCCGCTCCCCACACTGAGGGCGCCCGTTGTGCCCCGCCGGCTCCGCGCGCCGTGACGGAGCCCAGCCCAGCCCCGCCCCGCCCTCAGCGGGCTGCCCGGCCCCCGTCCGGCGCACAGTGCCCCGGGGCCTGGCCCCCGGCCCCAGCGCCAGCCCGCAGGGGCCGCTGCCTCCCGCGCCCCCAGTCGCGGTGTGCTCTGTTTTCAGGACCGAAAACAAAGCGGTGCCGGGGCCCGTGCACGGCCGCAGGTGAGGGCTGGGCCATAGCCCGAGGGGGAAAAGGGCAGAGAACCCCCCCGCGGGGCACGATAAGAGCTGGCACCTGTCTGGGTACTGATACTGGGTACTGTCTGGGTGATACGGATGGCGTGACCCCGCAGCGTTCAGTCTGCATACCCCAAACAACACAGCCGTGAGGAAAAAAAAAGAAGAAAAACCTAAAACCAGTGCATATGTATCTCTGTTTTCCAGACTTTTCAAGACAGCACATGAGGGCAGAAGTCTCAAGACTACAGGAGCCTCCTCCAGCATTTCCTATCTCTGAACACATCTGAGAATTCCTTACCCCTACCTTTTAATGGTTTGAAAACAAGATGTGGGTTTGGAGCCCAGATCTTTTTATCTCATGCTTATTGCACCCATAACTCCAGAAGGGTATTTGCTAGCATACCTTAGTGCACTTCATCCACCCAAGAGGGAGGTTTGGGGCTATTTTTAACAGAATTTTGGTTTAGTGCTTTGGTTTAGGGAAGAAGATGCAAGCCTTTAAAACCTCACAAGTGCCAAGCAGCATGACGTTATCCTTGTTCTTTTCTATTGACATCCAGATCATGAAGAGAGAAGCTTCTTTTCTTACTCAAGAGATTGCAGAGAAAGTGAGAGAAGAGCAATTGAGACAGAGCACTCAAATATGTTGGTACTCCAAATAACTCCTTCTGGAACAATACTCTGCTCCCATGGAGTTAATCCAGGCTACTTTTTCCTGAGTAATTATTCTAGGGTAACTCCATGTATAGACAAGTCATTGGCTCAAGTCCAAACACAACACCCTTGATCAAAAGGGAGGAGAAAACACACCAGAAATGTGCATCTAATGTGGAAACAAAACATTTTGTTAAATTGGGCTCCCAGTTACTTATTGCTAATAGAGTCCTTCCCTGCTTGCTCTTCATGCCCAACTCATTCAAGGTCTTAATCTAGTGTTCAGTCACTTCACAGTCATTGCCAAAGCAGATGTAATCCTACTGGCATAAACGCCATACTCTGGTTTCACTAAAGGACCCATAAGAGGGAAGAGTCCCAGACTAATAGCCAACAGGCATACTACAAGCCATATACTTCACAGTAATTAGTAAAGATTTGAAAATAGGTCTTTGAAAATAGCATTGAGGTTTGTACTAAAAAAAATCTTAGCAGTTTGCCCTTCAGGACCATTGAAACTTGCATGCTTGTAATACTCTTATAGTAACTATAGTTACTTTTTAAGTAATGCTTGTACTCAATAGCTTGTGTAAGGAGTCACAGAAATACTTACATTCACATCCATCTGAATGATACTGGCATGTTAGGTTCATCTGACTCTCCCTCTCCCTCCCTCTAATGTGTGCTGCCTGGGCATGTTGTACCTGTTTATTGTTACCCACAGAGGTTGCTGATGGGAGACAAGAGTTTTCTCATCTCCAGATGCAGTAACAAGCATTCCAAGACACAGTTATATTAAAACCTGTCCCAGGTGACCACAGCAGGAACAACAAAAATAGACCGTATACAGGGTAGAGCAGAACTGCACACATACAGCTCAGAGTTACCTTGGATGGTCTCTCATCATTTTGCACTATTTCCATTTGCTCTAGATGAGGAGAGGGAAAAAAAAAAAGTTAAAAAAAAAAAAAAAAAAGTCAGTTTCCTTCCTTTGCTCTTCCTCCAAAACAAACACGCTGGGGGTTATCTACAACTAACATGTACTTTGGGAATTCCTCTTTTGTACTACCCCCTATATAAAGGGGGACCAAGATTAAGTATGACGACCAATTAAACGTGAGCGCTCTGCTATGTATAACAACAGGGCAATTCCAACTAAGGCAATGGCCAGATCAAAGCTGTCTCTCTTTTTTTGGAACAAAGGCTCTGCTATTGCTGAGTTTTCAAGCTGTCTGCTTATTAATGGTGTGTTGATGCTCAGCCAAAGGGCTACAAGGTGTTTGCCTGCTGTGTCTACATCTCGAGCAAGCCTTTCTGCCAGCAGTACTTTCCTCCTCCGTACAACTGTGTAGTTCATTACAAAGGAAAAGAAAATAAATTCTGGAAAAAAGAAGAGGTGGGATGGAAAAGCTAGAGCTTGGCAAGACATTTTAGGCTTTCCCTAGAAGGCAGGCAAGGCACAATGCTTTACATTTCTGAACTTTCATCATTTATATGAACAAAACATACTACGCAAAGAAATACGCAACTTGTGATGCTCAGCTGCGTGGCTCTAATGCAGCACATCAAATGGTCCCAAAAAGCCAAAATATGTAAACTTCCCCTTCCCATTTCATTAAAAAAAAAAAAAAAGCTTGATGCTATAATTGATGTAATTCCAGATGAAAGAATAATACAGGCCAAAACTGTTTGGTTCACTGGGCAAATTCTAAAGCTATAGAGGTGTTTCAGTTCAGAAACATAAACCAGTTTTAAAGTTAGTCACCTGGATCAACCTTCCAGATTGTTCCTCCTTAACACAATACACATACTATTTTTAGAACTGCATGTTCTCCAAATTATTTACCTTTATTGAATGGATGCATCTCAACAGCTACAATAAACAGCTGAACTTCTATGCAGCCAGTGCTATCAGACTGTTTTTGCCAATATATCATCTGAATGCTCCTGGCTCTCTGTTAACAATGATGTTAGGAGTAGCAGAACAGCAGCACAGAAGATAAAGGCTTTTACAGTGGTAAGGGAGACAAACTACTCATCACCATGTAAGGAAAATGTTTTGCTCTGAACAATCTAGAAGCCAGTGTGTTAAAATAGTTACATTTACACACTTGGTATTCTGAATTATACAGAACTGACACTCAGTGTATTTGTATAACTGAATGAAGAATGTCACTATTTCTCTCTCTACTATCTTTTCAGAAAGACAACTGAGATGCAGCTCTTACTTGTGGCTATATTTGAATCAGATTAACTCCAGTTCCAGAGGAAGATGTTGCTATCTTAACACTATCATTTTTCTCTTTAATGTTTAAAACAACTACAGACATCATTCTCCCATTCTTTACTGGCTCACAGAGTAAAAATACCTCTGTTGACAAACTGGTTAGAATTTGACATGATATTCCATATGTAAAGTATTTAAATCTGAGCTTTTAACATTCAGTATAACGGCTTTAACTTAATGTTTCTATATAACATACAAAGTATTACACAAGTAAAAAATAGGAATTGAAGGAAATAGTTCAATCCAGACTCAGAATTTTGGTGAAGACTGCAAGCAGCTTTACAGAGCAGCTCTTTGTCTTTACATAGAGCGTATTTTTCCAGCCAAGTTGACAGGTACATTCCTTAAGTAGTTTCAGAATGATCAGCCTGAAGGGTTTGGAGAGTAAACATCTTTGTAAACATACTTGGAGGCACTTTATGAGCGTAGCTAGGGAGAGATCAGAGAAATGCTGGTGACAAATGGGAACTAAACACCCATAGTTCGGATTGCTGTGGAAGGAACTAAGGATGTTCCTTCAAAATTACTGATTCCTAAGGCATAAAATTGCAGTCATCTTTAACATGTGCCTGTATTCCAGTTCCCTAGTTATACACACCACTACACAAGAGTCCTCCTCAGTAAGGGCAGCTTCAGTTTAAACATCATTATACACATCACCTGCGCCTTTGCAGCCCCATTTTGTGGCACTCTCAGCCAGACATATGCATCTTCAAATCTCTTACATCACCATGGGCGAAACTTGTAGCACTGACAGCATCCCAGACCCATCTATACCATGCATAGTCCTTGATCTGCAACACTATCCTGCACGTGAAACCTTGCTTGTCTTGTACCTTTGTTCACCAGGGCAGAGACATAACCCAACACCCCATGCAAACTTCTGTGCAATTTGAGCCAACTCTCCCTCAATATCTGTGGATATGTGTATCTTTCAGACAATTTGCACCAAAGCAGCCAACCATTGCTCATAGACCAACAGAAGAAATTAAAAAAGCAAGCAAGGTATTTCGGGGGGGGGGGGGGGACGGGGGGGTGTTGGCAGAGAGCAGGGCAGGAAGAGAGGAGGCTTACAAGGAAGATATTCACAGGATCTCCATAGAAATTCTCTCCAGGAACTGAAGAAGCAAAAGGAACCTTCATGGGACAACATTTTAACTCCATCAACAGCCAAAAACAATCACTAACCAAGACAAAACACTTCTGTTCTCCTGGCTCACACAGACTGACTAAAGAGTCTTTGGCCATTGCCCAAAACACAGCTCCACACAACCTTGATAGCACTTACCTCCAAGCATTGTACCAGGTGCTGAGCACACAGGACCTAGCCCTGGAACACAGTCTGCAAAGCACAAGACCAGGAATTACAGTCACTTGAGGAATGTGGTCACTACCTAGCTTATGCTAACGGCACAGCATAGCATGGCAGAGACCCCCTAACTCCCCTTGCAGCAGATTAGTGGAAGCAGCTGCTTGGTCATTACCAGACTTGCTACACCTGCTCCCCCCATCAGATCCTGGATCAGACCCAGCTGTTTCACTTCCATGGAGGAGGTAAAGCCCAGTCGCTCTGCACAGGAGTGTCCAGTGACTGACAAGAGCCATGCTGAGAAATTGGACTTCCGTGTTTGATTTTTAATAGATTTAAGTTTTTCAGTAGTCACTGCCTGTGACAATTTTGCAGTTTTGGTCCTACAGCCACCTCATTCACATGTCAACTAAACCATGTCTGCCGCTGATTCAGTAGGACCTGTGTTCAGGGCATGTTTAAACATGGCTTTCAGGCCATTCCAGGCAGAGCTAGCAGAGGCTGCTTCTACAGTTAAGTTCTAAAGTTAGCAGCCTCAGAAAGATTCTTCCTCTGTGTTCTTCACTTTTACTTTGCTAATAGAAGGCTTTTTAAAACAAAAATAATCTAACAAAGGTATTCACTTTTTTCTTTAGATTAACACAAGAACAAATTGGACGAGGTAGAACTGAGCACAGTTTTCTTTTTACTTCATTTGGATCACCAGTTAAAAATAGCTATTTTCTGGACAATATATCGTTTTAATTAATCTTAGTCTTATAAATCAATCCATAATGAACAAAACCAATCCTTTGTTATAGTAAGTCTCACTTGCTGATGTACTCACTAACAATGCTGAAAATATTAATTATGCAAAGGCTGTAAAAAAAGAATCCTAAATAAGTAAAAGCCCAGTCCACCCAGGATCTGAATGAAAATCAGGTTGTTCTCTATCATTGCTCTGCCTGGATGTGAATAGCTGTTAGGTGAAGGCTGAGGACACACTGTAGTTCGCGTAAGTTCCCTGCTGAGCAGTGCAACCTTTAGTTTCTGGGGCTCCGTAAGTTATTAGATAGAAACAAAGGATTCTTCTACCTTCATGCAAATCTACTTGCACTACTATTTTACATGCAAAAACTGTCAGATACTTTCTTATTATTCCCACAAATTACAAAAATCAACAAATTAAGAAAACCTGTTATCCAAAGATTTATTTTTTTTTTAATACCACTTCTTTAGCCAATTCATTTCCATCCAAAGGAGAAAGACTGAGGATTGCTGACATATGCACTATTTTCCAATTAACTGCTTCTGTTTAATTATTAAACAACTACATTAAGTTCAACAGGAAGATTTTTTTCCAATTCCAGACTAAGCCTGCTCACGCATGAGTTAATCAGGAACAATTTCATGTTTAAACAAGCACTAAGAAGTATTCATACAAAAGAAAATACATTAGTTCTCTGCAATTCCAGTTTTATTCAATGAAAAGATTCATTGCATGATGCTGCCATGACCGGGCAGGCTTAGTGGGTGAATTGCAAATCTAATCAGTTTGGCAAAGGGCTTTATGGAAGCTGCTGTGTTGGCTTTGCAGACTTCAATATACTTGTTCTTTAGTTCATTTGTTGCAAACAACTAAAATCAGGGGCAAGGAAGGAAAGGCCATCCATTAATTATGAAAGTGCAAATTTTTGTATGATACTGGAAATGTTTCAAATGCAGTTTTAAATTTTCTATTTACCCTGTATTCATTTTTCTCACTATTTTTTCCCCATATTCCTATACATCTAAATTTCAAGTGCCCTTCCTAGAAAAGGCAAAATAACTTATGCCTTGTAGGCAATCAGGATTTAAGGCACTGAATTTTAAATAATTATTCCAATAATGTAATAAATTGGTAAAAGGTTTATGTCACAAACAAATTTCCACATGCTGTAACTACTCTAATGTTTCTTTCCAGACCATCACTTACTTGGTCATTCTCTTCAGCTTAATTCTGTCAGAAATTGTCTAAGAGTTCTAAAAATCAGGTTTTGATCTTTCCGATAGTATTCACATTTAAACAAGCCCAGCCTCATTTTATGTGATAAGAGGAACTGTTCTAAAACACACATTCTAACAATTACATGTATTTTCTTCAGCTGCAACCAACAGTCCTTGTATGTGTGTGCTGGCGTTCTGTGCCGTGTTTATTTATATATATCTCACACCAGCAGTCTCAAAGAGAAGACCCAAAACCTATCCAAGCTCATATCTCTACATCTGGGAACATGAACAAGTGAGGAAGGTAAGATGACGCAGCCAGGGAGAGGTGTTCTTAGTTTTCAACTAGGGCTGTACCTTTGGTATTATTTCTTGCATGGCACGCATACATTGCTTTTTTCACTTGTGGGTGTGTGTTTTTAGTACATACCAAACAGTATGTCTTCCAGCACACCAGCAAGTGAACAACTGTGAATTTCTGACCACACTGAGTAACATGCATGCATCAGTTGCTATTACTCAACTTTTCCTAAAGTCAATCAGGATCTCCAGAACTCAAGGTCCACTTTTAAGCAATTCAGCAACCTAAGTGGCAGTTAGATCAAGGCATGTTTATTTGCTTCTTGAGTGCAAATAAAGGTACATTGATCCTTTTTACTGTGGATCTGTTCTTAACAATCAAATAAAATGCAGTTGTTCTACAATAATGATGTGTTTTCCATGCAGAACATACAGGACTATCTCAAGGCATTTTCATTCTTCTCCTGTGAGGTATGGCAGTGTTATAATCTCCATTTCCAAGCAGAAAAGATTGATGGTCTTCTTCAGGGCAAAAGAGTGCCCCAGTATAACAGAGGAAAGCTGCAGCAGAACCAGCCACATCTGGTTTTCTCCCTCCTCCTCCGCCTTGTTATAAAAGCCCCATCTAAATCTGAAAATTCACAAGTTGGGTTTTGCACAGCTATCAGCTGCTGAGCTGGGACACCAGAACATACGCATATTTGGCTGACAGTTCCCATGCTGTGAGCAACATGCTATGTTAGTAAAAAACATGCTTCATTGTTGGTAAGCACTAATGTCCCTCATGGTGCTTCCCGACTCTCCATCTCTGGGAATTTTTGCAGTACAGTGTGGATTGCAGCTGTACTTATCAGAGAATAAGTGTTCAGTGTAAAAAAATTCCTGCTGTTCCACCTCATCAGTTGATTTTCACATAAGCTTTAAAGACTCCAGGAGTTCTTTCTACTCCACTCCAACCTTCAACATGCCAGTTTTCAAGCCCTTTACTGTCACCCCTGGAGCCCGCTGCCCATTGTTAGGAGAAAGAACTGATTTTGCCTGTTATTTGTGGGAATACAACTACCAGATCCGCCAGGTGTGCCACAGCTACAAAAGAAATCTGAGCAGATGAGTGTTCCACAGACAATAAACAACAATCAACAGATGTTACAAGCACTTGCTGACCAACTGCACATGGCAGTGGGATCAGGTCATGGTACAAGCCTGTGTCTGTCAGCAGTGACTGCAAGCCCTTTGGATCCTGTGTTCCTGAGGCTGCATGCCAAGTTTATTTCAGCCTCTGGATGCCAAAATGACAGCTGCTTTGAAAAGGAAAAATTGGGGTATCAGTCTTATGGGGAAAGTTTACATCACTCAACAATCTGTTTCATGTTGGAAAAAGAAGCTATGCATAACCATTAACCATGCTCTGATTCAGAAGCACAACTTTGGATAAAAGCACAGGAATTAATATTTAAGTCAATTAAGAAGGCTTCCTTAGATGTGTAGGTAACAGACTGGCCCTATCTAGAAGGCAAAAATGTTGTGGTGAAGTAGGAACACAAAAATATTCTATTGTAGATAATAAAATTGGAAGTACATTTTAAATTATAGTCTTATAGCATCATATAGTCTTAATAGCAAATTGCCACATTGCTTAGCAGCAGTTCTACTTGATAAATTTGTTATAAATGCTTAGTATTGCTGGGTGCATAGCCTTATTCCACTTCTGGTTTTGCTGTGATTTACTTCATTTTGAACAGCAGCTTTTTCAAACAGAAGTTTGAAAGGCAATGCTGCATAGTTTCAGTGTATTTGTTGTGTTATTTGAAATTCTTGTTTCATGTACATAATCATAAGGTGATCTGCTACTTTCAACTACAGTGTCCTGCTCCCTATCTACATGTAGTCTGTTGCTATTTGAGGTACAAAGGAGGAAAGAAAGCCGCATGCCACTGTCCACTGGGAGAGTTATTTTAACACACACTTGATTTGTAAAGTAGCCGAGTTCTTTCATCTTTTGCAGATAACATCACACAATGCATTGAAATAACTCAGGTACCTAAAGCCAGTCCAACCATGCCAATAAATATATATATATCTACAGATGCTATGGTGAACCCTAATTCCTGTACCTCAATCTAGGTCATGAAAGTATATGTTAAGTATCTCTACCCAACAGCAGACCTGCTCTCTGTGAATCTCCGCTTTCTCTTGCTTTGCTGGCCACAGGTGTCTTTTCCTGAGGTGCATGGAAACTCACTGTCAGCTGAATGTTGCTAGTGTACCCCAGCCAGCATGGGACTGTGATCTGCAGAGAAACAGCAGCTCTGACAAGGCTGCCACAGCTCTTGTCACATTTCCTAATATTTTTCTTTATCCAACACTTCCTCATCTTTCCTATAATGCCTGAATGATTTTTATTCCTGCAGAATGTACACGCCTTGGCCTTGCATAGACTCACATGGTAATGCTCACAACAGGGCACTTGCAAGGGCGGTACTTTCAAACACTATAAAAGCCAGAAGTCCAAACATTGTGACTCAGAGCTCCAAAATGTAACCAGACTGGGCTATATCAGTGGCTTTATGGAACAGCTGCTGGAGAGCTGTTTGCTGTCGTATCATCATAATAATATAGTGATATAATAACAGCAAGGCAATGGAGCAGAAACACCTGAAGACTGGGAGCATTATTTTGTCAGACCAGCATAAACTGAAAGTTGTGTCAACAGGACATAAAACTGAATGGGAACACATTCAAAAGGAATAACATCTCTAGTAAGACTCTCCTGCAGAACAAGCACAACACTTCTTTGAATTTGATTTCTTCCTAATAATTTTTAATAGCAATAGGAGAATAACTTTTTGCAATGGCACTTTGGAAGGGGAGAACAAACACAAAATTCAAACCAACCAATTCAGTCTAACAAA